GGAGAAGAGATGAGGACGCCCGTCTCCTTCCCGCCTTGTTCGGAAGGAGCCGACCTTGGGGGAGGAGAAGGCTGTCGTGGGGGGGATSAAGGGGATGGTGTGGATGACGGAAGGACGGGAGGAAGCGGACAGGATGGTCACCATCCGAAGGTACAGCGGCAGCTATCATGGGAGAAGAAGCGATGGTTTCCGAAAGTGCTGGTGCAGATCGCCATGTACAATGAGCGGGAATGCTACCAGCTGTCCATCGGAGCTTGTGCGCGACTGGATTGGCCGCGCGATCGGCTGCTCGTCCAGGTGCTGGACGATTCCGACGAGGAGGAGATGAAATCTCTAGTGGACGACGAGGTAGAGCGATGGGTGAAGGAGGGGGTCGAAATGGTCGTGAATAGGCGCGCAGACAGAAGCGGCTTCAAGGGGGGAAACCTGAAGAGCGGGTTCGAGGCGCCGTACACGAMGGAGTACGAGTTCATTGCCATGTTCGACGCTGATTTCCAACCCGAACCGGACTTCCTGGCACGGACTATTCCCTATTTCCGCGACGATCCCAGGGTGGCGTTGGTTCAGGCTCGGTGGGAKTTCAACAACTCCTACCAGAACATTTTGACTCGGACGCAGCTGATCGACATGTCCTACCACTTCTCTGTCGAGCAGCAGGTTCAGGCAGCGACGGGGCTTTTCTTCCAATTCAACGGCACSGCGGGCGTGTGGAGAAGGTCAGCCATCGTCGACGCAGGGGGGTGGTTGACTCGCACCACAGTGGAGGACATGGACTTGTCCTTCCGAGCATTCTTGCGAGGGTGGAGGTTCAAGTACCTAGACCAGGTGCGCGTAGTGTCGGAGAACCCCACGAGCGTCCGTGCGTACTCTCGCCAGCAGCACCGCTGGTTTGCCGGACCTGCACGCTTGCTAGTCCTGGTCTTCGCGGATATCCTCCGCTGCAAGCATCTGTCCTTCTCCAACAAGTTTCACATGCTSGTGATGTTCATATTCTTCCGAAAGATTGTTGCTTCCATCGTCGGAGCTGCGCTGGCTTTCCTCGTACCCCTGCTCTTCGTACTGATCCCTGAGCTTACCCTTCCTCTGCCCATCGCTCTCGTCGCCATCAGTCTCGGGGCAGTCGTTGSTCGGATACTGTCTGGGCGTCAGGAATCGCTTCTTGCGTGTCTTCCCATCGTRGCTCCTTACATTTGGGTCGCGAGTTCCGTCTCTGTGACGAAAGCAATTGGCTGCGTGCAGGGACTGTTGGACCGACCCGAGGCTAGCGAATGGGTTGTTACGGAGAAGACGGGAGTGCGARRGGGGCACGAAGAGTGTGACGATGATGAMGAAGACGGCGAAGAAGCAGGAGGAGAAGTAGAGGGGGACAAAGCTGTAGGAGGACGGGCAGTCGGACGAGAAGAAGAAAAGACTACTCTTTCTTGCGACGGATGTGATTCGAGGTTCGACGCTTCATCAGCTGCGGCAGCAGGTGAGGACGTCGAGAGMGGACAATGTCATGCGGAAGATAAAATGGGCGTCGGGCCACRCCCGCCTCCGCCGTCCAGCGCAGGTCGCCCTCGGCGRAAGAAGAAGAGGACAGTTTTGAAGGCCCAATTGTTTCTGGCGTTATTGATTCTGTCGGCTTGCATTCCTGCCTTCCTGTCGGCCCGTGCGCTCTTTTATTACATCTTCTTCCAAAGCCTGGTCACGCTAGCCTTCGCATGCAGCTTTCTTGGCGATGGCTGAGACCCCCCCMAGTGGGAATTCTCGAATTTCACCTAGCTGCGGTTATCCTCTGGAATTGGATGGGTGTAGAGATGATAAGGGCAAATTGCAGATATACCGGATCAGAGAAGTATCGTAGACAAAAATACCAGTCTGTCCGTGTATTGTGACAAATACGCCAGCAAACTTACATCAATGTAGAGTKGCGTGAGGACTAGGACTTGGATGCGGATAAGCAGGAGGAGGAGGGGGAGAATAATAACCACAGTTTTGATGATGTGGATTAGGAGTAGGATCTGCATAAYTATGACGAGGCGGGGGGTGTAATTATTTGAGGCGTTGGACTCTRSAGTAGCGTCAGCACCCGAATAGAACGCCCGAGCACTATTGCGGTATTGGGGACAGAAAGTTGGCCCAACGGCAGCTCTAATGACCGGGCGTTATATTCGAGTGAAGATGTCAGGGAAAGGCCTTTGGAGAGAGAGTGAGCGAGGGAGACTGCTTGACTGAACTGACAACTTGTGACAAGCAGTCTCCCTCGCTCACTCTCTCCCCAAAGGCCTTATCATTCTCTCATCAGTGCGTTCTTTTCGTTACTTCAGGATGTTCAATCTACGTACCAATTTTGCATGTTTCGAGTTGATGCGCATACGTGGGGAGACCAAAGGAGGCAGTACGACAGGGTCGGGCAGGGGGAATCTGGTAAGGCCAGCGTGATGAAGCGAGCACGGAACAGAAAACCATTGACTTGATATCTTCGACGATCGGATGGACCTGGTCCACAGCCTGGTCTCGATTCGTGTCGCTGCTCGCGTCACACCTGTGACCCGTGGCTTGAGGAATAGTTCGTTTATCTGCACGCTTGAGGAATACCTTGATATCGCCGATACCATTAGGCGATTTGAGTATTCGGCAGTGACGGGAGCTTGAGTAACAACATTTCTTCTTACGACAGACGACTGAGACGATGTAGAAAGGCTTTGAGCGTGCATGTTCATTTGCTGTTGTCGATAAGCAATGAGCGGTTGTTTTTGCGTGAAGCGAGCTTTTTAGTGCTCTTTCCTCATTGGTTCGTCCTTTCCTTCTCTATATTAACGCCTCTTCCTCTTCTTCCTCTTCCTCTTCTTCCTCTTCCTCCTCTTCCTCCTCTTCCTCCTCTTCGTCCTCTTCCTCCTCTTCTTCCTCCTCCTCTGTCTCCTCCTCTTCCTCCTCCACTTCGTCCTCCGCTTCGTCCTCCTCTTCGTCCTCCTCCTCCTCTTCTTCTTCTTCTTCTTCTTCTTCTTCTTCTTCTTCTCCCTCCTCCCTCTTCTCCTCCTCCTCCCTCTCTTCCTCCTCCTCCCTCTTCTTCCTCTCCTCCCTCTTCATCCCCTCCTCCCTCTTCTTCCCCTCCTCCTCTCCTCCCTCCCCTCCCTCCTCTCCTCCC